GGGGTTAGTGGGCATCGTTCAACACCAACCACTACTGTTCTCCTTGAGGCCGACTTGTTGGTAATATTCTTCCTACACTGGCTCCTCAAATGTCCATACTTTCCACAGTTCCAAGAACCTTTCTGGATACCAGCCTTTCCTGCTGTATCATCTCCCCTGTGTAGAAGTTTCAAGCATTGAGCTCTCTTTTGCCCAGGTTTATTACAGTGCCAGCAAAGTCCCTCAAACCTCTCTGAAAGCTGACCTTTTCTCGCCTTGAATCCAGATGACTGTACTAACCTCGGTACCTCTGTGCTGGACTTAATGTAGGATTCAAATTCGAGAGCTCTGGCCATTGCATCCTGCATGGTAGAGGGGTGTGCTTGCTTCACTTGTATCTTAAGTTCTGGACTGTCCAAGGCATCTACGAACTGATCTCTCAGCAACAACTTGAGGAGATCGCGTGGTGCAGTTGGGTAGGCCTTGTGTGCCATGCTTTCCAAGTCCTGTGCCAGCTCTTGCAGGCTCTCCCCTTTAGCACGGATTCTCATCCTAAACCTAGCCCTGTAGACTTCAGACTGATTTTGGGTTCCATACCTGAGTTCTAGAGCTGCTACTAGTGCTCTATAGTTGTGCCTGTCGTCTGCTGACAAGTATTTCCAGTGGATGTCCCTTCAGGCTCGTTGACAGGTACACTGCTTTCTGCTCCTGTGTCCATCCATTCATTTCTGCCAGTAGCTCAGATTGTGCTCTACATGCTTCTCAAGGTGCCTTCCCATCGAATTCCTGTGTTCATCCATTCATTTCTGCCAGTAGCTCAGATTGTGCTCTACATGCTTCTCAAGGTGCCTTCCCATCGAATTCCTGTGGCTTTCTTCGTACTAGATCACTCCCATTGCTGACATTCATATCTGGGATGTGACTTCTAACAGGATTGAAAATATTTACATTAGGGTTTAGCTGCGGGGTCTGGAAGGGGCTTCCCGTTGTCTGAGGCTGATTAGGTCGATGGCTAACATATCTTCCTTGTGTAAAAGACAGTAACTCATTCTTTAATGTATTTAATTCGCTTTGAAATTTACTAATGTTTTCCATTTGTGTACTCTGGCTATCTCTCAACTGTTGGAGACTTTGTTCTTGTTTATTTTCCTTCTCTTCCAACCACTGTTGTAGTTTTTCGTCTTGTTTATTTTCATTCTCCTCCAACCACTGCTGTAGTCTCTCTTCTTGTTTCTTTTCTTTTCCCCCAACAACTGTTGTAATCTCTCTTCTTGTTTCTTTTCTTTTCCCCCAACAACTGTTGTAATCTCTCTTCTTGTTTCTTTTCTTGTTCTTCTTGTTTCTTTTCTCCTTTATTTTCTCGTTCTTCTTGTTTCTTTTCTTCTTTCCTTCAACAGCTGCTGTAATCTTTCTTCTTGTTTCTTTTGCTGTTCTTGTATTGCTGCCATCAAATCTGCTAAGCTGCAGTTTAATTTGCTACTTCTCGTTTCCACTCCCCCCCCCCCCCCCACTCTCTGACACCAATTTGTTATGTCTCTGGTCGTTTGTTAATTTCTCGTACAATTTCTTTGGGATGAAACTTTAGCGACATAAGTTCTTTCTTAAATAAAACTAGTTTATTTTTTCTCAATACATTTTTGCAATAAACTTAATTTCCACAGTCACTTTTACTTAACATACGCTGTAATTCACAACGATTCACGCATTTGACTTAAGGTCACTATCGCGCATGACTCAATTGTCCGTCTCTATTTCTTACTGTCTGCAATTATCTATGGCGTCACTTGTTGCCGGTCTTATATATATATACAAAATAGAGGGCGTCTAGCAAACACTCGAGCCTTCAGGAACCTTCTAGATACTCATTACGTGTTACCAGCGTCACCTGATTTCCGCTGTCGTAAAAAAATTGAAAAAAAATGTAACAGAGTAAAAGTAAAACATAACGCTTTCACAACCAGGATGGAATAAAGAAATAATTTAATTTTCTTAATTTTCAAACTTTAATAATATCAGAAATCCAAAATTAACTTTCAATCAATTGGAATTCCAATTTTATACATACAAAAAAAAAGAAAAAAAGTGTTACCAAATATATTCCTAGCCAGGATTTGTTACAAATTGTAATAAACTAAACCAAATAAATATTCATATTAAATTATTAAATATTTTAATAAATAAAGGGATTAGGGGGAAGAAAACCTAAAAGAGGAAAAATCCTAATTGCAAAAATACATAATATCTGAGAATTAAAAATTTCAATAACAGTAACAATATAGATATTCATTCAGCAATAATTCATTTGAATTACATCTGAGGAACTAATTCGTTTAAGCTGAAGACACTGTTTTTTTTAGTTGTTAGAATAGGAGGTTACATCTCATATGAGTAATTATTTTTCACAACATAAATGTTTGTACATCACTACCAGATGAAGCTTGTGTTAGTTTCTTAATACAAATATACTTAATTTCAGTATGCTTTAGTTAGTATTGTTGCGTCAGCGAGATCACGTGACTATTCTCACGCCCTCTGCTTTCTAGAAGTATCTTGTACCTTGGCGAATGCTCTAGCATTTACTAGATATAGGGTAGTCTGGTATATAAAAGAGGGTGACAACGTGACAGAATAATGTGTGTGTGTAGACAGTGAGTAATTGATCTGCAGTCAGATAATATT